TTCTAAGGACAAGGGTAAGATAGCCTGTTTAATAAGTATCGAAGGAGGCCACTCTATTGACAGCAGCCTTCCCGCCCTGCGGATGTTTTACCAGCTTGGAGTCCGCTCCATGGGTCTCACGCATTCTTGTAATACACCCTGGTAATAGGAAAAGACTTTATACAGCATATATTTTACAGTATATCTAGTACTTTGTATTTAAAAAGTCATATCTCGATCTTTTCTTAAATGATCATTTAAGCAATAAATTGGGTTTTGAATAGAAATTCTATTTTATCAAATACGTAGCATTGGCTCTGTAATGGTCTATTGCTACATAGCAACTTTAAAGCAGGAACTACTGAGCTACATTTAATCTAAGAAGTATTTGTTTATAGAATAGGAAAGATAGAAAGGTGAAACATATTTACATTTTCACCTCGACATCCTTTTCTTTTATGCAAATTAACCTATATATGTCCTCTCTCAGATATCTCACATTGACTATAGCTGTGGGTATCTGAAGCAGTTCCCTTCAGATACCCAAAGTAATTTTAAGTAATTACAAACAGGAGAAGAATAATTTGCAGCACTTGTGACATTAAAATACATATATTGTTTCTATGCAGGGCTGAATCATCCTCAACTTTTTACCCTGTATATAAGAGGGAGAATAACAGCCTGACATCCTTTGGGAAGGTAATTCTGAGTTTCAGTAACATTAGCCACAGCTGTATTTCATTATCTCACATTCCACAGAGTAGTATGTCAGCGTGCATGCCAGTTTTGCCTGACCCTTTTTCAGAAAGCATAAAACATATCAGTCCTTCCATACTGTATTGAAGAAATAAGAGAAATTCAGTTGTTGACATAAAACTGTATTAACTAAGTAACTATTATAACTATTATAAAACTACTATGCATTATTGTTGTTGTTATGTTTGCATTAATAGAGATTGTATAGTTATTGTAACTTGAGAACCTTCTAAATAAAATGAACCTCTTTACTATTAGAATTTGGGAATACTGTGCATACTAAATCTTCTCCTGATAGGAAGCTGTGGAAAGAGAATCTCTGTTAACCCAAACTGGACTTTTCTCATTTAATAACTCCTTGTGTATTACTGGAATATGGTAATATATTATAGGCAGCTTATTTAAACATAGAAAACATCTTTATTACTCCTTTCCCATTCAGATCTCCGTCTCAACAGCAAAGTGCAGGGACACTCTTGATTGTTATCTGCATGAGTGTTTTCTAATAGTTTACATGTAACAACATCCTCTCCTCTGAATAAATGACTTCCTTCCTGATGCCACCAAAATGTTCTTAATTGTGTTTTTGAGGTCGTAGTCGAGGAGATGAACAGACTCGGAATGATAGTGGACCTCTCCCACACCTCGTGGAACACATCCTTTGCTGTTCTGAGTCACTCTAAGGCTCCGGTTATTTTTAGCCATTCCTCTTCCTACTCCATATGTAACCACAGCCGCAATGTTCCTGACAATCTGCTACTTGAACTGGTGAGAAATACAACCTTAAAAGTAATTGCTTGCCTTCTTAACCGCTTGATTAAACAACGGTCTGATCAGTCACATTGATGACTGGCTCATTTTAATTGTCTCTTTCTGTGTGTATCTAAAGAAGAAAAACTGTCAGACAATTTTTGTAATGGTTAGACTTTTTGTGTATCAACAGCATAAAACATTTATGAACAGATTTCCACCATTAGAAATTATTCAGTTTTCACCCACTAAGAGTTATTGATTTCAATCCTAAGGCTTTATTTGCACAATCAACTTAATGCATTTCTTCTGTCTTTATGTCGTTCTGTGTTCTCCATGATTTCCTCAGCCATCTTTAGCTCTTGCCATTTCCCCTTTACTTGCATACACAGACAGGCACCAGAACGTGATCTCACAGGATGAAATAAAAGTACTATAGTGAGGACCTATTAATGAGAATATCAGATTGTTTACCCTAACAATGATAGTCATTTTCCTCCCTCTACTTTAAAAAAAAAATGCTTATACTGATTAATGACAGGCTGATGATCAAGAATTCAAGCTGTGTGTAAGCCTACTGTCAACAGTGTCGGGGTAGTTTCAGGCTCTTTTTATAAACTGAGAATATTCTTTTCTTCTTTCTATTTATTAATCAAGTTGAAAAATAAATAGTATCAATACTTACATTTTATCATAGCCACGAATTTGATATTTCCACATGTTTTTTTTTTCTGTGTGATTACTCATACACATAAGCTCAGTAAATCATCATTTGAACAGGAAGAACTAGATAAAACAGTTCTAAAACCCTCTTGACTTCTAGTCTTATTGTTTTTCTTTTTGGGATCTGAGTGGCATCTCGATATGCCAGACATAATAATTTACGCTATATGCAAATGAAATGATTAAACAAGAACTTTTCTGTAGAGTGTACACATGCATAGATTATTTTAGTCTGTTTGGTGGCATTTAACCCTTTTCTCCACGCCTGGTAATGGCCCTGTGTGTTTTTGTTTCAGAAAAAGAACCAAGGGTTGATCATGGTGAATCTCCACAACACATTTGTTTCCTGCAGAGATGAGGCTAACATCTCTCATGTGGCTGGTGAGCTGTCCATCTGGAATGGATGTGTTTGTATTTCTTATATCTCAGTTTATACATTATTCCACTTATTTTTACAGACCATTTTGATTACATTAAGAAATTGATTGGAGCTGAATCGATAGGAATTGGAGGGGATTATGAAGGTGCTACAAGGTAAGAAATCAATTTGCAATAACCAGATAACACAAATTATTAGCTAAACAGGTAATTGTTTGTTTGTAATTGTTGTGGTAAATGTTGCAAACAGAAAATCCATGCAAGTTACCTTAAATCTTCTTTATATTCTATAGTCATGATGAATGAAAAGCTTTTGAGACAAAACAAAGCTAATACTAATAGGCAACACGCTTGTCTGAGGCACTCTCCAGACAGATTATTTCAAAGGCCGTTGTTGAGCCAAATCAATTGTGTGGTTTTTGTTTGCTTGTCATATCAGCAATTTAGCTGTCCAGTTGTCAACAGACTGAAGTGGGTTAAAAATCAATAACTTTATACCTCTAATAGGCATAAATGGAGGCTGCTATGCTGTGGTAGATTTTCTGCAAGATGGTGGATATTAGGTTATTGCTATGCATACAGAGGGGTGACAAATTTAAGGAAAATCAGAATCAGAACTTTTAACCCCTACAGTGAGAGGATGCAGTGACTCTGTTGTGCTGCTGGGTGCAAAGTGCGCAAAGTCCTCTTAAACGGAATTGTCTTAAACAATCAGTATCAGGTAGTTTTGTGATGAAACAAAAGAAAAAAAGAAAACAAAGCTCATTATTGAATACTGCAATTAATATAAAAATGCCATGAATCATACCCCATGTCTTTAACAGTGACCAAATTTCTTCATTGCCTTTTGGAGCTTTTGTTTCAGCCTGTTACAGCAAACTTTAAATAAAGGAATATAATAAAGGTTAAAATTCTTCCTGACCCATTGACTTGGAGAGTCGATGCCAAGGCTCTTCTTGCAGAATTCTTCAGCCCAAAATCTTATTAGAACTGAGAATAAAACAAATCATGTTTCTGTGTTTACTTTTGTAATTCCACGTGTCAAAGGTATGAAACTAAATGTATTTAGCAACACCATAATTTTCAGAATGAGGGATCTGTTTCTACAATGGTTCGCCTAAAAACAATAATTTGAGAGTAATTTTGTTTTCATTTTGGTTAAAAGCTTCCCTCATGGGTTAGAAGATGTCTCAAAATACCCAGCCCTAATCCAGGAACTGCTGAGAAGAAACTGGACTGAGAATGAGCTGGCTGGTGTCCTTCGACATAACTTCTTGCGTGTGTTTGAACAGGTTGAGAGGGTGAGCGAGAGAATACATCTATATGACGAGAATAGGTGGTGAAAGATTCATGAGTTTAAGTATTTTATATGTTGGCATACTCTTATTTCCTTCCTTTATTTTCACCAAGGTCCGTGATCAGTTGAGTTCAAATCTACCAAGTGAGGTCCAGATTCCATTTGAAGAGGCACACAACCCATGCAGGCTAGTCCTTAGACGTCCAGACCCAAGAAGCCTGCCCTCAGATCAGTCCTCTGGAGCAGAAGGTGGATTACCTGGTCTGTTAATCCTTGCCACAGTTCTGGTGCTTTCCAGAATATTTTTGATTGAATGAATATTAACAATCTCAGTTCAGCCGTATCATTCTTTTGAAGTTGTATAGAAAGGAGTACACAGAAAGGAGTGTCACAGTGCTGCACATCAGTGGAGATTAGGAGGAATTTAATGACTTTAATGTCTAACCTCATTTTTGCTATAATTAAAATGCAAACTCCTGTACATACGTTAATCGATTAATTAAAAATTCAGAAGATGTCTGAAAGAGACCTCTTGGTTTTATCTTTTTTTTTTTAATTCACTATTTATTTTGTTATTTAGTTGGCAGAACATTTTTTTCATGATGTCCATAGAAGATTACGAAATATAATAGAATGATAAACTTGATAAATATAACTTTAGAGATTATACTTTGTATCTAGGATTGACTAGGAAACAGCTTAGAAGCTGAGGTTGTCTACTTAAGTTTATAATGCTTCAAGCACTTTAACAAAGTTGTACAGAATATCAGTTTCAAAGCAAATATTTGTTCTATTTACTCTCATAGCATAAGACAATATTATGGTTTTACGTCATTCATGTAGCCTTGTTGCTCACAACCCAATGGCAATAAATTTGATAAATATCTGCTTTGGTGTGCTCACTTGAGGTGGTGATGTTGATCTTCGTGTAATCATAGGATTTGACTTGGTAGTTTTATTGCTTCTTAAAAACCTACAGTTATGAATGAAATAAAATACGACTCTATTAAAGTTCCTATTGAAGTAGTGGACTGTGCCAGAAATACAGTAACCAAAAAAAAGAGAAATAAAAACAAAAAATACATATTTAGTTTGCTGCAATTAACAATGGTTTAAATAGCGTAAATAAATTTGAACCAGGAATGCTGTTCTGACATTGAGTGTTTAATAGTTGCACACTTGTCATACTTTCCATAAGACACACCCTTGCCTTTAAAAAAACTATTTAGTCAACACAAAAAATATAGTCGTTCCAGACACTACACCCTGATCTAAAATACTGATTATCTTCAGTTTCTCAGGTAAAACAAACACAAAACAAAGTCTAAAAACATATTCAGATTCTAGATTAGATTAATTTAAAGATGCAATCCTTGTAGAGTTTCAGTCTTAGTTGAATTAGTGATGCCTGTGGTAATATAAACTATTAGAAGCTACAAAATAGTGTGTGTGTGTGTGTGTGTGTGTGTGTGTGTGTGTGTGTGTGTGTGTGTGTGTGTGTGTGTGTGTGTGTGTATAGTCTGAAAATTACAATTCAGTGCAAAAAAAGAAGACTTCCACACTAATAGGTATAGATTTGATACAGATAGCCATTGTTTTATAGAATGGATTTAGAGTGGCAGTTAAAGAAAAGGTCAACTGTAAATAATATGAGTAGGTTTAAAAAAAAAATAAAATTAAACCATAAGGATTCCAACTTTAAATTAAAGCATATTTTTTATAAACATGTAAGCTTATCAGTATACATGCAACAGTTTAAAGGTCATGTTCATGAACACTTTGACTCATATCTTAAAAAAATACAAATTCTTACTCTTTTTAAAAATCTTCCTTTATAATGTCCATCATCCAGATTTACAATCTAGATTGTAAGCCACCTGTACAACACACAAAATATCCATCGCTTTGTTCGATACCCACAGTAACATTTTCTTTATTCTCATCGGGGAAATGTTTAGAAAATAAATAAATAAATATTTGTGTTTCCCTAAAATAATCAGAGAATTGTTTCAGAATAATAATCTGGCATCCTATTAATACTGTTCTAACAAAATGTGTAATACTCGGTACAATCCTGCCTATCAAATTGCCAAATATAGCTTTAATATCATGTACAAGAGGTACAGAATCCGTACCTTAAAAAAATAAGAACAAATTCCCAAAAGTTTGTTTCTGACAAGTTTTGAAATAAAAGAGCATAAATGACAGCTTTCATTTATAAAAGAATGAACAAACAGGATGATATGTATTCAAAAGTGTCCCAATATTCTACAAGAATAGAATGAACCTCTTTTTATAATCAAAAGTCCATAAAAAAAATATCAAATTTATGCATCTACGCATAATTGTCTGCAGGCAAATTGGTTGCCACCTTTTGAGCAGAGGTGGAATTTATTCTGATGAGGTCAGTGCCCTCGTATAGCAGCTCTTATTTAGTCATGAGTAGATAGTAATAACTTCCCGCCCTCCACCTCTCACCAGAAGCACCCTTTCCAAACCTTCAGTCAGCACCTCCAGAAACTCCATGTCTGAGGTACCGTTAAAGAAACTATACCAATTAGACAAAAACCTATACATTCTGTATACACACTACAACCCAAAACAGCATTTTTAATTTCAGTGGCAAAGGATACAGTTCTCATCTCCGTCTGTGTTTCGGGGTGGTCCTGGCATGTTGAGCAGTACTAATCGAGCATCATGGGATCTGTTTACTATTACTTCGTTCAGCTTCACAGCTGTATGCATTCTCCGCACATTGGACTGATCCCTGGAATGTAGCAATGGAGATAGTTTGATTTGTGCCTCTAAAAGGTTTTCACTCAGACACACAGAGAAGTAATAGATAAATTTTCAACGTGCGTGCTTTTAGTGGTTAAAAGTAAAATGGTTTAATCATTCCAGAAGAAGCTGAAGCTTAATCTGACTTAGTCGGACTCACGGTTTGAGGCTTATGAGCTCTCTAAAGTTCTCAGGTGCATTGTTTTTGTTCCTCCTCTCAGCCTCACACTTCTCTCGAGTCCATGTCATCTGAAGCTTCTCTGGAGGAGCTTCCACAATCTCCTCTTCTTCATCTGAGTACAGACTCCCCATACGCACCAAGGAGTGTCTGTCTTTAACAAGCTGAGCCTTGGGATTCCATAGGAGTCAAATGAGGTTTTATTTTGTCACTCTATTAAGCTTAAACTCGAAAAATGCATATATTTCACAAATATAACTTTCCGGAGTTTAACAAGGTTCAAAACAACCCTACCTCTCGCTGTCTTTCTGCACTGGAAAGCCTCATTTGCCTCAGCATTTGGGACCTCTGCTCCATCATTAATGTTCGTTCATAGGTGTATGCTGAAATGTCACTATCATGCTGGAATGACATTTGGGGAGCGGGGGAGTAATGTTAATGGTTATAGTAAATGAAACATAGGGAGTTTGGAAGTGCAAACGAATTCATTCACGGTGTTCTGTTATCTGAAATATTAAGTTAAGCACTAGTTTGTTCCAGCTTTTCATTTTTCTTCACGTACAGGTTGGTGGAGCCTTATAGTAAGCAACGAACTTGATGTTTTCAGTTTAACCTGACGTCATACACGACTGGTTTGAGATTTTTTGTTAAATGACCAAGTCACTAACATCTTTTTTTAATCCAAAGCATAAGAATTCCTTTTCTTTTTTTTCAAAATTAGTTGTATAAGTGGGACTCACCATCTCCACCACTTCCACCTCAGCTTCTATTCTCAGCTGATAAAGAAAAGTGGCCAGATCTTTCTTCATCTGGATGCTATTGTCATCCATCTGGGCTACAGTAAAGATGCGCATCTTGCACTTCCTCCAGACCTAAATTACAAATAAAGTCTTGAAATATCACAACGATAATACACTGTGCAATAAATAAATGATTAAAAAAAAGAAACCTCAGTTTTAAAGACAATTCCTAAAACAGCATATAAAGTCAAACTTAACAAAGGCGGGTTAAAGAAAAGGAGTTATTTAAGCAGATTATTATTAAATCGTGTTTTTGATGAAAAGTGAAACATTTAAGCTCAGAATTAACATGAATTAAAAAAAAAAAAAACCCTCACATATATGTAATACTTTCATCTCACCTTATGCTGTTTAAGCAAGAAAGGCAGCAGCATTAACATCCCCCCATCATGGACAATCCACCACACATCAATGTTGCCATCTGTGAAACGTTCATGGTTGCTTGGATAGAAGGACACATTTTTGGGCACCATCAGGGCCAGCTGTGCAGCTGTCGTGCAGCGAACCGTGTCTGGGTTTGGATGAAAATGTGCAGGCTAAGATATTTACACAAATCACATAGTGTAAAAAGTATACTGGATACAGATAATGCAAACAAATGAGTGGCTGACTAGATATATCAATCCAACTGAAACCCATGGTTAAGCATCCACAAGGTATATTTACAAGTTAGACTAGCTTTATTATAGAGGTTTGTAGATTGTCTAAAACATAATCTGGGCAAGCAGCCATCACTGGGGACCCCGCTGAATTTGTGAGGTTTCATTTTCTTAAGATTCTTACTTATAAAAGTCTTCCAGGCTCGAGGATCCTCACTCTGTCTCCAGCCATATGGCCATCCCATTACGACAGTGTTGTGCTTCATACCACCCAGACCACATGACTGGATCAAATGGACAATGCCCTCCCGTACCTTATATGCAACCACAACCTGGCAGAAGCCTTTGACCCGTTCAATTTCCATCATATTCTTGATAGCCTGGGAGGGGAAGAAATATGTGGAAAGACTGAATAGTAGTTCTTTATAAAAAAATATATATATATAAGTTTTACATTGGTAAACTACACATAGTAGACCTACATAATAATCACTGAAGAAAATAGATAATTAGTTATAGAAATGGAATCACAGATGACAGAGAATGATAATGAAGCTATTCATCAGATAAATTAAATGCATGTGTTTGCCTCCCTGCTCAGTATCCACAGTATCCATCCTAATGAAAAATATATGAATAACCTCAGCATTTAGTGAACAGAAGATGAGCGGTTTCAGTATTTTCTTGCAACATAGCCAACAGAAAACCTGGTTCTGTTGTTATATTCTCTGGGGGAGTCATACCAGTCATATCACATTAGGAAAAATCTTACAGCACTGCCCCTTATTTTGTCTGAAATGGCTCATTGGTCGTTAGACCGCTAACAACAAGCAGTTTGCTGCCATACCCTTTGAATAACATCACAAAGGCATTAAAAAATAATGATAAAGCAATCACCGCTGAAGAAATGTGACATAAATTTCACAATTCACGCTGAAGCATTTCTATGCTTCATTGTGTTTTTCAAATTACAAAGGGTGTTCATTTGTAACAATCAGCCGCTTTCTCAGCAGCACAGTATAATAGAAAACAATAGAGTGCTCCATGCATCCCTTTCACGCGTCTACCTGCTCAGCTGCCTGCATTTCTCCATAGCTGTCCAGGAAGTTACCGTGGATAACAGAGCCCACAATGGTCAAGCCTTTTCCTGCTTTCAGCTGCGAGGCAAAGGTGAGCAGTCGGGGATATTTTACATGGAGGTCCTCATCTAGTTTCAACAGCACCAACAGTTGAGGTCTGCAATGCGGAAAGTCATAGATTATATGAGAATGCATCCTCTCCATTTGCAATGTACAAAGTAGTAAATAGCAAATGGAGAAATTCTAATTCAGTGCTGCAACTCTGACCAAAATAAGGACATCTCACGAATACGCTCATGACAATGAACTATGACTCACCATAAACAAGGAATGATGAAAGAGTGGGCTGTGACTTTGTGCTTATTAATTACAAACTGTAGGATTTTTGTTTAACTACTGAAACACCAGTGTTCCAGTTATTTCAGACCCATATCATATTTGTTTCAGTATAAAT